AAGCATAACGGTCAAGAGACTATTTTTTTCTATCACCAATAATCATCTTCGGGCCTTTTTTTTTCTGAAGTCATCTTTCTTGGTGTATGAAGGTTTTATTTAAATTTATTTCAAGCACACAGAAAGAAAAACACTGGTGGTGATTAGGCATCGAAATCGTCCGTTTTGCTCGTCATCGGTAGATGTCTTTTTGTAGTTTCTTATTCTGGAAAGAATGTCGACACTCGCACGTCACCGTTATATCTGTTATATACAGCTAAAAAATTACACGCACCAAAGCAAGTTCAAGAATAGTTGACCTTGTAACAACTAATAAACTGAAACATGGATTGCCTTACACAGAATAATTCAACGAATGGTAAACGATGATCTTAAACGATGTTCTACTAACCATGTCCATGGAAAAGCCTTTCCCGTTAGTAGTAACAAATTTAAATGGATTATTTTGATTCAAAGACTTTGCTAAGAATTCATTAAACATAAAAAAAAGAGAAAAGCTACTCGAAATTCGGTTTTTTAGAAAATGGAGAAATGTCTTTGTAAGGAGCTCAGACATTTGACTCGTTGAAACAGTTTGACTAGAAAAACAGCATTCAAGTGACTGGTCTTTTTTTCTTGTTATCATCTTCGGCTGGTCGTCCGAAGCCACCCATTTTGGTGTCATGAAGGGTTTTTTTAAAATCTTTTCTTATCCATGCAATCGTTAGTCTTTTTTGTTAAATCTTGCTGGAAGCTACAATCCGGTGGTTATGGGTTTCCAAAAAGTTAGTTTTCTTAATCATTGACTTTAAAATACTTGGTCATTGCGAAGAAAGATATTTCCTTTCAAGAGAACATCGTCCATAAAGTTCCACATTCTATCGATTTTCGATGTTACTGCAGTGGCGGACCCAGACCTTAAGATAGGTGGAGGGGGGTGTGGGGGTAATCCAGACCTTGATATAAGGGGCGGTCTAAAATAAATGTATTTACATTCGGCGGAGCTAAACGTAGTGGCAGTGACAGAGAATGTAAATACTTTCCTATTGGTATGAACGCACGTGAGCCGCTATGGCGTTAATTGACTCTATTGTTATTAGGTATATAAGGTTTTGACAGTTGTAATGTATTCATCTCAGCTCTCGAACTATCAACTTTTATTTTTATATCTTACTTTATTTATATATCGATTGATTTTTTACCTTTAACCGCATCGGTTGGGGAATACGTTCCCAATTTTTTCCCATTGGGTTTTTTGGGTTTTCGTATCAGGCGGGGCACGTGAATAGTTTAGCCTGAGTGACTTTATTTAGGAATATTTGTATACCATTCTTTAGTTATGATGTTGAACTTTGTATGTAATTTGGACGGCATTAAACACTCAGGCTCCATAGTTCGAGCTGCACACCCATTCCCGTCTCTTAGTCGTGAATACAAATAGGAACATTTTCTGCCCTTCGAGCCTCATTCTGGTCTAAAAATAATGGCCCGGGCCTCTCCCCTCGATCCGCCACTGTACTCTCTTGGTTGGTTCCCGCGGCATACAATATTACTTGTCGTAAAACTTAACGAAGACTTTACTTTCCTTTTATGCTGTGCTATTGATGCTGGAGAGAGTGTGAACCTTTTACGTCACGGTTTTGAGTACAAGGTCACGCATGTACAAAATGATTCTTAAGTTATAACAACAAATTAACTAATAATGAAGTTGTAAAGAATAACAATGAATGGTAAAAGAGGGTCAATAACGAGATTCTAGTCAACACGTGCAATGAAAAGCATTTCCAATAAAAAAAGGAGTTTAGGAAATGTGTGTTACAAGGTTTACTGAGCCGTAGAACTCGCAAAATTTCAATGTGAATAAAATCAATAGTGATTGAAAAATGGTTTTTATAAAAATTGAGAAGAAAGCTTTGTGACGAGCTCAAATGTTTGACTAGTTGTTGTAAGAGGAAGCACAACGTTCAACAGACTATTCATTTCTACCACCAATTATCATCCTCGGGCCTTATTCTTTTCTGAGGCCACCCTTCTTGCGTATGAAGGTTTTACTTAAATTCATTTTTAGCTTACAGAAAACTAAAAACCGGTGGTGAATAGGATCCCACGTCACCGTTATATGGGGATAAAAAGAACATACATGCACCAAAGTAGCCTGAGTATCAGGCGTTTCTGGGGAAAAGGGGAAAGATGGAAGCGAAAAGGGAGAGAGCTGAAGGAGTGAAACGCCTGACACAGATTCTTTTACTGGAGCCTTCCACCCCCACACAGCATGATTCGATACCATCCAATCAAAATCACTTCCGGTCATTGAGTTGTCAGCTTCACGTGTCAAAAAGCTCTCCTAAAATAAATCTCACTTTACGTTCTGGCCGAGCTCCGGAGCTTGTGTTGCTACGATTTCCCTTTTTTCTGAAACCTTCAATGAGGAGTTTTCGAATACTTGTAATGTTAAACCTGCCGTTTTTGAGGAATTATACATGTTTTAGGAATTGTGCTAGTGTAAGATCGCCAACGCTCTGTTTGTAAATAAACGTGTGCCCGGAAAATTGTAAATTGCTTTTGTTTACAGAGTTACATCAGGCGCTTGTCTGGCAGCTAAAAAGTTGATGTTATCCCTCGTTTCTCGGGTGGTTGAAAGGAGCTGCAAGAATAAATAGGAAGGTGCTATGGTGAAACACCTATGCCTAGAAATTATCAAGCAGCAGCAAATTCCACTACTTCACAGAGAGCTCGTGAAAGCTGTTACAAGTTCAAAAAGAAGTGAGAGCCTATAGCAAAGTTCAATCCCGTTGGCGAAATATGATGGCGCCCGCTTGAGCTTAAGACATTTCAAAAGTGAGAAAATTTTGGAAGAGGAAGCGAACGAATTCCAATCACGTACACTATCGTAACCGCCACAAGCAAAGTCAAGCGTTTTAAAAGCATTGGTGCTGTCGGCTATCTCAATACATGGCTGCCTCGCTCTATTTTCATTTACAGTAACAATACCCTTTTAACGGCAGGATGTTGTAAATCAGAACTTAGATATCTGAAACACTAATATCGTCTTCTTTGTCCCGGTCTTGTGAAACCAATACTCGGACATAGTTTCGGCAGAAGCTCAGGCGGTGTGCGTCACGACCCACAAAGGTTCATGGGTAAAACTGTTACTGTGCCTCATTTCAATCGTGACACGGTCGAGCTCGCATCTCGTAAGAGAAATGAATCAAACCCGGGGATCAAATCACTGCTGCCTTTTCCGAAAAACATTACGGAAGAGGGAGATTTCGAGAATTTTCAAAATCTCATAGTGGCCTTAGATGCTTGCTATTGGCTTCACAAGACAATTTCAAGAAGTTTATCGCGATTAGGAGACGAACGTGCGATCTAGCCGACTTTGAGCGGCGACTAATTTCCTGCTTCTCAAAGATTTTATGTACTGTTTGGTTTATATGCATATTTTTATCTCATCGTGAAAGAGATCTGTAGTTCATACCTGGATTTGTTCAACTAAAAAAAAATTCATCCACTAGAAGTGTTTATATATTTGATGGACTTTGTTACCGGCAAAGCAGGGGGAGCGCGTGCAAACAGCAAGGTGAGAAATCGTCTCTCATAACAATTTTATTTTCATCGACAAGTTTATATTATTTTGAAAACAGTGCCCGTTTGAAATCCTTATGCGCAAATAAATCTTCTATCAGGCAAGGGGAAAACAGACCGAAAGGGCCGAACAGCTGCAGCACAATCGGAATTTCACCGAGGCTACAGTCGCAGAAATAAACAGTGAAATAAACCACGATCTTGTCTGTGCCGTCATTGAAGTGAGCGCAGTTATCGATTTTGTTTTAAAGTAAAACCTAACCTCACAGTTTTAAAATCCTGTATGATGTTGTCTGGATCTTCGATAATGGTTTTGTGTTTTGGTAGAGATTTTAATATAAAAATAATTTATTCCCTCACATAAGTTTACACAAAGATTTGCATGCACATAGCACACACCGCATGCAAATTATTTTAAAGTCACGCTTTCAGTTTCCGCACTGGGTTATGAAAAATGTTTTTTTTCCAAAGGTTATTACAATATTCAAACTTATTTACCTTTTGTGGTTTAAAATAGAACAAACTCTTCCTGGATTTGGCGTTACTCGCTTCACGTCGGCATCCGCTTCGGCATGTTTTCTCAGCCGTTTCCCTGGAGTTGTGCCACTTGGCTAAGACGATGTCTTAATTCCAAGACACTTTCAACGGCTCATAACGAGAAAGCTAACAGGGGTGGACCCGGGTAGACCCCGAAATTTGCAAAGAAGAAAGGTTGAAGTAACAAGATGGCCAAAATAATTCGATAAAACCGCTAACAGTAACCAGCAATAAATCCAAGAAGAACGGCAAAAACAACACTCCAATCATCATGGCGGCCTGCACACGACCGAGTCATTCAAACTTGTCACAAACGCTCAAGAAAGCAAAATATTAAAAAGTAACGCAACTGCTATCATGATAACACCACATATACCTCTGAAAAGGTCGTCACTTGTTTCCATCCGCCAAACTGACGTGACGTCATCTGATTTCCGGCGAACATCTTCGGTTTACGCGCCGGCTTCCTATCGTAAAAACTAATATGGCGGATGATCTTTTGTGGGTCCACGTGTATCCAGCAGATTATTTGTGTTTTTCTGTGCACATAAAGCAGGGTCCTGATTTTTTTCAATAAACCTTTGAAAACTTAGGGTAAATTGGACAAGGGTAAAGCTATTTTATACCCTTAAAGCTTGCCACAGTGGAGAACGTCAGTTTGATGGATGGCGTGACAGATAGCGTATCTTTCCATCCATGAAACTGACTTTCAATAAGAGGCGAACGCGCACGAAAATTGACGATAATGTACCGAAAACCTGTCTCGGAATTCCGAAGATTTTCCCGCTAAGCATCGTTGTTTGGCGGGCATTTTCGAAAGGAAAATAATAAAGTTTCCGGGTGTATGAGATCTGGAAGTTGACTGCTCGGTTTATAGTACTCAGCACAATTCGTTTGTTATGGCTTTGCCGGCAAATGCCCAAGAAGGTAGCGGCACAGCTGAAGGCAAATATTTAGAAAGTGAGAAAGACAGTGCTACTGTATGTACTTGGCAAGCCAAGTTAAGAGGATCAACGAACAAGTTTGTTGGCTATGTTGGATCAGTTGAGGAAGCCATGACTGTAATAAGACAATATGAACTGGAAACAACAACAAAATTCTCTTGTTTTAAATCAGACAAAATGTTTGGTGCTGGAGGTAAGATAATTATGAAGCAACAAAATAAATATGCACTTATCAACTGAAAGCCGACCCCCCACCCCCGGGCCAAGGTGGGGGAACAAAGGGTGTTTGATAAAATTTGACAGCATGTTTTGCCGTTGGGGGCGGGGGATTTATCAAGATTTGCCATGTTCTATTTTTCTCCTACAGGACTGTAGGTGGGGGCTTTAAAAGTTTAAGTGCCCCCTCATGGGGGTTAATCACCATTGTAGTTGACATGAAGTCAAATCCCCACCCTGTCCTGGGGGTGGGGGAGGGGGTATTTCAGTTGATAAGTGCATAAACAATAAGTTGGTCATAAAAAATTATTGAATGTGATTGGTTATCAGCAGCTATGATTTTAGCAGAGCAGTGTAACATAATAGGGTTAAGAATGCTGGAGTAGAATGTGGTGTAGCTTGCACACCAGATTACAATCAAAAGATTATAATAAACAATGCTCTAACAATGCTCTAATGCTCCAAAACACTAACCCTTTGACATTCTGGCTGCCCAGCATAGTAATTTTGGGCAAAAACTAAGATTGCCTTCTTGCCAAAAAGCAACAGTAAGTCATCACCAGGGGCCTCTGAGGACTGCTAGAGTACAGCCCTAATAAACATAATACAGACTTTCCTTGTTTCTATGACACAGATCCCTTTGCCAAGCAAAGAAAAGTCTATTTCAAAGATGACAAAATTCCATTTGATGGAGTACCATTCAGTATAATTGGAACCAAGGTATTTGACTGCCAACATGGACCAGACAGGAAAAAGTCATTTAACGCGAGACATTCTGAAGAGAAGGTATGTTGGTTATGACTAAAAAATATCTGCATTTTTATTTCACAGCAAAGGCCTTTTTGGTGCTTTTAGCACTAAACTGTAAGGAATCTATAATATTAATCTTCTAACTACAGGTTGATGATCACTCATTCAAAAGGAGGAGGTTTCTACCTCAAGACACAATGAAGTTTGGCTGCCCTGCAAGTATTCATTTACCAGAAGTCATAAAGTATTGCAATTACAAGGTACAAAACCACCATCACAATAGTGATAATAGCAATTGACATTATACTTCCGCTCAGTAAAATACATCCCTTCATTTCATAACTTATTACTGTCTTTTAACTCTATTAGATCAGGGATGACACAGAAAGACTAAGAAGGGACATGTCCAAAAAGCTGAAGACTGATATAACCAGCGGACAGAAACCCCAAGTGGAACGCAGAATTTATATCCAATTACCAAAGGAGGATGAACACAAAGATCACATCACTGGAGAGGTCTGTTGATGTCAATGGAAAGAACTGGGACACTACCTTAACTTGAGAACAATAATATTAACTTTTGTTTTTGCCTCTTTTTGTTTGAGTAATAGTTGAAGGCTTAGGGAAAAACACTTTGAATGGGTGGAACAAGAGTTGAGTCATTTTCATATAAACCTTCTAGTTTTTCATGTATAAATCATTATGGTAAGTAATACCTGTCCGAAACTATAATTATTATAGTTTCGGACAGGTATTACTTTCCTATGAAAAGGCAAGAAGGCATGTGAAAGAAAGTCAAGTCAGACCTTCCACTCAAAGGCTAGGTCACAAAGTACAACAGGTGTATGGGTGGCTACATGCTATGTAGTGTTAACAATCATAGCCTAGGTCTGTAAATGAAGTAATGATCGTGAAAAAAGGTCCAAGTAGTGTCTAGGACTAAAATAGAAGCTGATAAAAAATAAACAAAATTGTCTAGGAATTATTATTTCAACTGATTTGTTGCTATTCTATCCAAATAATTTGTTTTTTGAATGTTGTTGTTGACAGAAGTGACATTTCATTCATTACATGTAAGTGTACATTGTACCAGCAGTGCCTACAACTATCAGCATGGCTGTCAAAATATTTCTGTCAAAAATGTAATTCCATTTTCATTTTTCTCCTCATGTATCAAACAACCAGACTGGTGGCATTCTGCAGCCCATTGACAAACGGCTTGTGAACAAGATTGGAGAGCTTGTTGGCGAAGGTGTGAAAACTGTGGACGAAATGAAAAGACATCTTAGGCAATTCGTAAAAACTGAACTATTTCCAGGGCAATCTCCACCAGCATCAACAAACAGGCGCTATTATCCAACAGATGTGGACATCAGGAACCACATGTATCAGGCATCAGTAAAAAAAATCCTGTCCAAATCTGATCAGGAAAACCTTGAAAAAAAAAATTGAAAATTGGTGTCAGGAGAACCCACAAGATTCTTTCTATTTTAGACCCTGTGCCCTATCAGCCTCATCAACAGCTTCTGAAAGCATGAACAATGAGGAAACAGATCAAAATTGTGTGCGAGATGATCTTTTGTTTGCTCATCAAACAGCCTGGCAAAAGCAACTCATGATCCGTTACGGAAATGAGATCACCCTGCTTGATGCAACCTACAAGACAATGAGATATGAGCTCCCTCTATTTTTCCTAGTGGTAAAGACAAATGTAAATTACATAGTTGTGGGGTCTTTCATAATTCAAAGGGAAACTACAGCCTCCATACAGGAAGCACTAGGAATCTTCCATGATTGGAATGCCAGCTGGAAGCCCCAATTTTTCATGACAGATATTTTCCAAAAATTGTCATTGGGTGCCCCTGACTAAACTTAATAGCGAAATAAAGGCAGTCAGTACTTAAAGTGTAAGTTTCTTATTACATGTAGCTCCAAATAAATGAAAAATTAACAGAATCTGCAGTAATTGGGCGTGTAATGCCATAGACTATTTCAATGAAAACTCTGTAACGACACAATGATAGTAAGGTTTGTTAATTTCAACATTTGTCACGTCAGTTTGATAGATGGAACCTTGTCCATCTACCAAAATGACGTCGCTTGAGAATTAAGCTGATAAACCAGAAATATCTGTTTCTATATAGAATACTCTCCACATGAAACGCTTTTAGAAGTGAGCTCGATAGAAAGTAATTTAAGCTTAAGTCTTTCCTTGCCACTTTCTGAACGTAAACTATAAATGTCAATAGTAGCTTTCGCATCATACCTTCTCGGGCCTACCTTCTCTTAAGATTTGCCTTTTAACCAAACAACACAAGGTAGATCGGTTAGGTAAATCCTGGCAAACATAATCTCACTTCATTCGCTAGTTTGAGTGGTATACTGACAAGCATATATCAGTCTAGACAAGACAGTGGCCGCCATATTTGTTTTTACGATAAGAAGCCGACGCGTAAACCGAAGATGTTCACCGGAGATCAGATGACGTCACGTCAGTTTGGCGGATGGAAACAAGTGACGACCCTCTGAAAACGGCTCTTTCCGAGCGCGAAAATCACTCTACAAATGACGCATTCTGATTGGTCGAATCTCGTGACGCACACCGCCTGGCAGAAGCTGGTACAGTGAGGCTTTTCCATACTCCGAGTACATCTTCCCTTTAAACTACGAAGCCTTGAAAACACAATTCTTGCTCGGGTTTTATTTTTATTCCAGGAAAGAATTTGAGAGCGCCCTCTAGAGCCTTTTTGAATTCCTCTCTACGTCTCTGTCCATAAAAGTATCACATACTGGTAACATGAAATCAAAACATCTATGAAAAATTTCAATGGCTTCTCCTTGCCGATCGCTCTTGCGGTCGGTGACGTCAGTGGGTATTGCGTGTTATCCAATCACTGCCATATCCAGATTTTGGATGTGTCACACGATTTGCTGAATGGTTTTGTGTCAGGCCTTCCTTTCTCTTCTCCCCCTCCCCCCCCCCCCATCTAAAATCTCCTCTCCCCTAGCCCCTTAGGAAGGCCTGATACTCAGGCTAGCACCAAAGCAACAAATAAACTGAAATATGAACTTTTAAAGAATAATAGTTACAATGAATAGTGCTCTTTAAAAAATAGAATCTAGTCGGAAAATGGTTGTTTTGAAAATGGAGAAGTCGCCTCTGTAAGGAGCTTGGACGTGCGAGTAGTTGTTGTCTAAGGAGAAACGACGATCAAAAGTTTTTTTTTAATACAGATGAATACACCTTTTTTTAAAAAGATTGATATCTATTTTTCTTAATGATCTTCTTTCATTAATCACTTTTCGTCTTCCTGCAACAAGAACAACAACAAATCCGTTATCAACTTCTCTGCTGTATGATATAGTTAAAAAGGAGTTTTAGTGGTCGAAGTATTTAAGTACAAGTGGAACCTCAATTTAACATGCAATAAAGTGACTGGGCAAATGTGTTAGTTAAGTGGAGGGTTTACTTTATCAAACACCTCTATATAATGCTTGAGAAATGTTATATCGATAAGCCGAGATGAGGTTACAAGGTGTGTATGACTGTGTATACAAACACTCGGATAGTTTGCCAGACACGAGTTCACAGATCTTTGATCTCTTTCTCTATCTCTTTGGCACGTTCTAGCCGTTTCTAATACTTTATCCCCTGAAGGACATCTGTGAGCAATTATTGATCAAACCTTTTAGTTTCTAAGGCTTAATTTCATGCAAATAAAATGAATTGTTTGTAAAACTTTAACTTCTAATAATTAAATCTTTTCTAATGGTTTAAAATAAACTATTCTCAAAACAAAGAATGCTTTCAGATCATAGCTGTGTAAATAAAACTGAAACAGTGCATGGAACCTTTCGTTTCCTGTTTTTACTCTCACCTTCTGTACAGAATATGTGTGAAAATCTTTGATCATGAATCGGTATATTTCAAAGAGCTACACAATGACCAAGAATACTATTGACCGACAATATACAGAGCGGGTGGAGCTGTATTGTCAACTATTACTAGTAAATATTTCTTATTTGAGGGAGGTGGTTAATAGAGGGACAGCTTTTATTCGAGGAAATAAAGTATTTTGTATCATCTTACAATAGAACACTTTGATTTCCACTTTAAGGTCAAATCCACAGAGCTAAACTTTCAAGGGTTCCATGTTTGTATATAAATGTATGGTTCAGCTACATGTAAGAAAGACTTGCCAAAAAACTTATGAATTACTCAACTCGTTCAGATCTTAAGTGACATTTATATAACCACAAGTATTTGACATTTTTGCATTCCCTAATACACCTTGTCTGTCTGCCCCCTCCCAATATTGTTGCATAAACTTTGCTTTCAGTATCTCTTGCAGAATGCAAAATGGTGAATACTGCTCTTCAACAGATATCTTTCTATCATAATGAAACGATTCTCTTCATTGAATTCTCATCAACGTATTGTCTTAAAAGTTAAATGACTAGAACGTCCAAGAGCAACGTGATCAAACCTTTTAAGGTGACTCAACCCAGTTTTTTTGCGGGGGTACCATCCTACGTTGAAGCTTTCTGCTATCCCCACCTTTACTTTTATCGTAAGTCTAACACATAGAATGGATAACATATAGATCGGTCTACAATATAACAAAATTTTTGGCGATCGGAGTAAATGTCACGTGGTTATAATGCCACGCCCCTTTGAGGTCTGAGTCGAAAATCTGCTGTTGCCGGCATTTTTTTGTGAAAATATCTCGGCTACACATAGTGCGCATTAGTGCCTTGCGCTGAACAGAGTTTCACCAAAATCGCAAAGACCCAATTCGAGAAATTCAGCGGTTTCCAAATTTAGGTCATAATTTATGCGAAAATGATAAGCAAACTTTACACGATTATATCTAATAAACTATGAGATTCATCCCTTTATTTTGGGGATCGTTATAACAGATGGGTCCTTGCAAGTCAGCAAAACGCCTTAGGGCCTTGTAAATGCGCGTGATTTCGAGCAAAGCAAACATATAGAAATTATAGTTTTCGCTATTTGTTGACGTTTGTCAGCGTTTAAGAGTCCTTCTCACGAAAAAAGCATTTTCTTAAAAACTCGTAGTTTTTTTTCCTTCAAATTTTTTCAGGGCCACAATTGATTAACTAACTACCCGGACTCTGAATTTCATGATCATTGAAAAACTGTGACATTATCTTCTTTAAGCCCAAACTTGAGTAAACATTGAAGATTTTAAGCGTTTTGGCTGAGTTTGTGCTTTGGGAGTTGTCTATTGTTTCTAGTCTGTCATTATACAGCATTCTTGTTCAGCACGCGTGCAGTGACCGCGCTTGGCTGACTTCCGAATACTCACCAAGATAAGATAATTTTGGTACAGTGAGACAGGCCATCGCGTGATACATAGAGGTTTAACTCACAATTTTTAATCAATTCTCGTGCTTCTTGTGCCTTTGCAAAAAAATCAAGAGGTGCTACACACTAAATCTAGTTACTATTAAAAAAAATATATCATTTTTTCATGTTTAATGCAAGCCAATAATTAAACCAACTCGTGACTGGAATCCCTTCCTTTTTCTCATACTAAATTATCATATCTCGGTGAGTATTCGGAAGTCAGCCAAGCGTGGTCATTGCACGCGTGCTGAACAAGAATGCTGTATAATGACAGACTAGAAACAATTGACAAATCCCTGCAGCTGTAGTGCCAACTATTGATAGATAAAGTATGACGGAGTGTTGCCATATATTTATTTGTTATGGTCTACAGTTAAAGGTTGCTTTTTGATTTCCGTAAACAGAAATCGAGAGATTAGACGCCAAAGCGCTTCATGTCATATGTCGTGGTAGCTTGTCCTCGACACCTACATGCATCTACATCTACTTTAATACTCTTCAATGCTATTACACATCAAGAAGAGTTAAAAGAATAAAAATATGAACATAGCTAATAAAAATTAATAAAGAAATAAAGAAATAAATAAAACATGTAATTAAGAATATAGCTATACTTAAAAATAAAACTTAAAATAATTTTGCACTGCAAAATGCTGAATAATTAAGTGATCTGGTTTCAGGTAATAAACAGTTCCAGTCCCTTTTACTTCTCGGGAAGAAACTATATTTATTCCTCGCGAAGCGCCGAGCCGCGAGGTTTATAATCTCGTCGCGCGCGAAGCGCGCGTGTGTCACTCAAGCATCGCAAGGCCAGCGTGATTTCCTCTTGGCTATACCTCCATGTAAATCTATCGAGTTTGGTTGGTGTCCGCCTTGACGTCATCCAGTAGTAACGTCAAAGTGCACTATCGGTTTCCAGGCAACCGATTGCCATCGACCACAAAGCTCTGGGGTTTCTTCTTGAAGACGGGTTTTTTTCATCTGTGAATTATAACAATGTTTACGGTCGTTGAGTCACCACCCAATATCTCAGGTAAATAAAACAGAACAGCAAACTCAACAATGGTGGATTCAACAAGTG